TTTTTAGTGCATCCATTTACCATTCCTGACTATGTTCTACAGCTTAAAAATACTTCACTATCACCGATAGTTGACTCGACCAGCCTTATTACCTCGGCGTTTTCTGTATTCTTCTTGTTGGTATTTTCGCTCTGCGTTGGGAAGATATTCTACTATTTGTCGCTACCTCCGCTATTTGGTAAGTTTATATCAGAATCGTAACCTATGACATAGGTTATTGATCAAGTCTAATGAACAATACTTGCGCTATTGCTTACATGAAAGGAGTAAACTAGATTGCCTGCTATACGGTTGAGAGTAGAATGCAACAAGAGCCATGATAGGATTTCGTTTTCCTCATAAAACTTTCCCCTGTTTGTGCACTTTACAAAATTTTTAAAGATAGCGGCTTCTTTGACTTCATCAGCAACTTCATTAAAAAAGAAAAACTGTCAAATTGACTGAAACCTTAGCTATCTTTCCTGCTAATTTACGGCCAAATGTTTCACAGTATTTTGAGTTCTTAAATTCTAACCAGATATGACTCATTAGGCTGATGCATAAATCTTGCTCCAAAATTTTGTGCTCATAAATAGCAAAATAAAATTTGATAATTAACATAGTTTAGAAATTTGATTTTTTCATTTTTAGCAAAATCTTTCTTTCGATGAGTATTAAGGAAGTAAACTCATGCGCATCCTAGAGTATTTAACGCGAAAAGTTACGGATATATACTAGAAAAGAAAAATTTATTTTTGGTTTTGTTCTTACTAACTATTTTTAAACTGAGAGCAAGGTGATTGGAGTACTTATAATCTTAGAAATTTCTTGTTTACTTTCTGGGTTCAAAATTTATTCACTTTTAAGTATCATGAAGAACTATTGTTATTCATGATACTTAAAAGCACATTGATTGTTAGATTGTTAGCAGATTTTTAGCACAAGACATAGCTTTTAGTGTAAAAGACGATTGATTTTTTTTTCAATTCTAAACGGATTTTGACGAATTTGTGTCCTATTTGCTAGAAGAATTACGAATTAGACCTCACGTTGTACAAGATTCTTCAGTAGAGAAGACCTTGAAGGCCTGGGTTATGTTAATGTTTTGTGATTTAGCAATAACATAAGGTGGTTCATAAGCAGTTCCAATAATCTGCAATCTATTCAGCAGCTAGTTTCAAAGTTTTCATGATCATGAAACGAGCTGGTTCCAGTCATTAACCAGTGATCGGAATCTTGTTTATCGTTAAGATCGCGCGTTTCAACTTGCTTTATAGCTAATCGTACGGAACAAATCCATGGTTTCATGTTGATGAGC